AGGAGAATCACAAGGTCAGGAGTTGAAGACTAGCCTGAGCGACATATCGAAACCCAGTCTCTACCAAAACTCCAAAAATTAGCCAGGTGCACACCTGTCGTCCCAGCTACTTGGGAGGCCAAGGCAGGAGGCTCACTTGAGCCTGGGAGGTAGAGGCTGCAGTGAGCCATGATCTGCATTCTGGCCTGGATGACAGAGACCCTGTCTCAAAAAATAAAAATAAATAAAATAATGCATTCCCGCCGGGCGCGGTGGCTCAAGCCTGTAATCCCAGCACTTTGGGAGGCCGAGGCGGGTGGATCACAAGGTCAAGAGATCGAGACCATCCTGGTCAACATGGTGAAACCCCGTCTCTACTAAAAATACAAAAAATTAGCTAGGCATGGTGGTGTGTGTCTGTAATCCCAGCTACTCAGGAGGCTGAGGCAGGAGAATTGCCTGAACCCAGGAGGTGGAGGTTGCAGTGAGCCGAGATCGCGCCATTGCACTCCAACCTGGGTAACATGAGTGAAACTCCGTCTCAAAAAAAAAAAAAAAAAAAAAAATAATGCATTCCCCCATGTATGTAGATGTTCTTGTGATGAGGAAAACCCAGGTCCACAGGTGCACCGAAGTGTGGCTGCTTCTCCGGCTCCTTTTGGGAGCAGGTGGTTTCCTAATATTAAAGTACGGCTGCCACCTTGTGGGGATGTGAGGAACTGGCCGCTAACTAAGAGAGGAACAGGGGCTGCTGCACCCCACACATCCTGCTGCTCAGGGCTGGCCCAAACTTAGAAGCCTGCCGTGGGATGGGGCTGGGGCCAGGGAGCTGCGCTCACCTTGACCTGCTCATTAGAGGTGACCGCACAGAAGACAATCTCGGTGAAGCCCTGGGTGGGAAACATGCGGAAGCAGATGCCGCCGATAACCCGCCCGTCCTTGATCAAGGCCAGAGTCTTGTGCTTCCTAAGAGAGAGGGAGGCACATCACAGTCCCTGCCTGTCCTCTTCAGAGCCCTGGAAGTCTGAGCTGTAGTCAGGGTTGGGCAGTGAGAAGTAAGAATGCTCCACGGTTGAACCTCACAAGTGGGGAAAAGGGAATCCCCAATTTTCAGGAGTGAGGAGGTGGAGGAGGAAGGGCTCCCAGGTGTGTGGCCCTGGGGTAGGGGCTCTGTGGGGGACGCACGGGTCAAAGACGAGGCGGGCGATGTACTCCTTGGGCATGCGAGGCAGCTGGTGGGAAAAGACATTCTGCAGCCCCACGAGCCACAGCAACACCCGCCGGTTGGCCTTGGGCGTCAGTGAGTTGCCGATGACGTGGAACTCAATGATGCCTCGGCGCTCCTCCAGGCGGGCCGTCTCATCCCGGGCTGCATTGGCTGATAGCAGGCTCGTCTAGGCAGAGAGGAGGGGCAGTGGGCCGGGGTCTCAGGTTGGTGGGGGGATCCCCCAGCTGATCAGCAGGTCGGGCTGCCCACCTCAGGCCCCAGCATGGCAGCAGGGTCGGTGATGGTCAGCATGACCTCGTTGACCAGCTCCATGGGGATGTCGCCCATCACGCGGAGGCGCTTGGCATCCTCCAGGGTCAGGTTCTCCGGGAGCTTCCTCTTCTCGCCTATGGGGGAGGTAGGCAAGGTTGTCCAGGAACAGTAAAAAACGTTTGGGGAGGGGTCAATGAGGGTCCGAGGTCAGGGGTTGAGTATCCCACCTGGCATAGGCTCGGCCCCTGCAGAATCCAGACTCAGGGAGCTGTTGCTGGCCCCACCCATGCTGGGGCTGAAGATGGGGGTACTGGGAACAACCGCTGCACTGACTGTAGCTGAAGAGAGAGAGAGGGAGAGAGAAGGGTGCGGTGGCGGGAGAGAGGGGGAGAGAGAGAGAGACAGACAAACATAGATTAGGGACGGGGGTTGCAGCTGTTGGCAGGTCCCTCAATGGGATCCAGACCCTCCAGCTCAGCTGAGCCCTCTTCCACCCAGGAGGCTTAGCTCAGCCAGGGAGGCCAGAGACCCTGCGGAGCCTAACATGGCACATACCTGGCCGGGGCACCAGCTGTGTCCCCTCTGAGGGTGGCATGGTGAAGCCTGACTCCCAGATCGGAGAGTTTGCCCCATAGATCTCCTCCTCTAGCATGGACAGGAATCTGTAGGGAGGACACAGTCTGTCCCACAACTCTGTCCTCCACGGGTGCAGCCTGGGCCAGGCAGCAAAGGGACTGGAGGCTGGTCAGAGACAGACCCTGCTCTTAGGGAACTGGGGGCCTCAAAGAGGAGATAGCCCCTGCCTTCTGGGAGCCTCCAATTGAAGGTAAGAGGATAGGACACATCCAGGACAGAGATCAAAGAGGCTCAGTTTCGCCATGCTGGGCAGCACAAGGAGACATGTCGGAGCTGATGTCATCCTGTGCTATGTGACCAGGCAGGACACCTTGTCACCCTGAGTCCCCTCGCTGCCCTCAGTATCAAAATGGGCTCAGACTCCACCCCACCTTGCCATTTTTTGTTCCCACCTGGTGGCAGGGGGCACTAGAGAGCCAGGATTAGTCAGTAAGGCTTTTTGAACAGGGGAGTTATGACCCAGATTTTAAAAGATGTGGCCAAACAGAAGAACACAGTACAGAAAAGACCAGAACAGGAGTGGAAATGGGTTTCACTTTAAGCATAAGCTCTGCTTTCTTGGAGAGCTGTGCAGGGAAGGAGTCTGAGGCTGTGTCCAGGCCCCCATGGGAAATAATTAGTAACGTCTACCGGGGCATGGGGTGAGGGGGGCAGCGTTAGCTCGGGCCATGTACCTGCCATCCCCAGACTAGTACTAGCAAGTTGCTTCTGGGCCATGGGCAAGTCTGCCAGGTAGACGCCCAGATCCCAGAAGGCCCATGGAGGGAGAGGAGGGACCAATCCAGGAAGCCTTCCTGGAAAAAAGGGGACAACAGGGAGGAAGTGAACTTGGTGCCAAATCCTGATAGGCCAGAAGGAGCCTTACTTGGGGAAGTGAGTGAGGATGAGGGTCCTTTTCTCCGGCACCAATTTGTCCTTCTCCACTCGGAACTTTTCCAGCAGCTGCCGGCGGGTGACAGTGAAAATGGACCGGAGAAGGCTTCGCCCAAAGACATGAGTGGTTTCATAGCGAGGCAGGCTGTCGCAGCTCTGGGGCACGTGGCAGTAACAGAGCCATCTAGAGTAGGGGGCAGAGGGGAAACAGGTGAGGGCGGAAACCACTGAACCCAGGCTGAGCCTGCAAGGCTGCCCCGACGCTGCCCCCAGCTGAGCCTACCTGGTGTAATTGACCTTATAGGTAGCCACGTCTTCAGCCTGAGACCTCTGCCGAAACTGGGCAGGTGTCTCAAGCTTCCAGTAGTTAAGGCAGAGCAAGAACATCTTTGAGAGCTCGAACATCGTCTGCCGCTCCCTGGGAGCCAGGTGACTAAACTTGTACTGCACAAAGTTCAGCACACCCTGAGAAGCGGTGGGTGGGGACAAAACCAGGAATGAGGTGTGAGCAGCCCGCAGGGCCTTCTTAGACAAAAGAAGATGCTTTCTGAGGCCAGGGACAAGGGTCTCCCCTCTCTCTCAGGTGCTCTCTATAGAGAAGCTCTGCCCCCTCCCTACAGCACCAAGGTTAGCACAAAACACCCTCCCTTCTCTGAACTTCCCCCATGTTCTCAGCTTGAGAATGGAGAACACAGGCTCCCCACTCCTCCAAGCTGTCCCCAATTCTCCTACCCCCTATCTCCAATTCCCCATCCCACCTGCTCAATATTAGGTTTCTCAAATGGGGGGCTGCCCAGGGACCCCTCCACCACGGGCCGGGTCATCTGCAGGATGCATTTCCGCAGGAGCTGGAGAGAAGAGGAAGGGAAGGAGGGGGGAGCAGGGCAGAGCTACAGACAACCCCTCAAGGCCCCACCTCCTTCACCCACTCACACCCTCCTTAGGTGGAAGCTCACCTTGAAGAGGTAGAAATAGACCTGCTTGGTGTCTGTGTCCTCCTCCTTGTGAACAGACATGAAGAGATTCTCCACGTCTACCACCATCCCCAGCAGTCGGTTTATCTCATCCTCTGACACATTCTCCAAGTGGGATACGTGGTCAGCTGCAAGACAGGTGGCAGAGTTGGGAAAAACTGATAGAAGAGAGCAACAAGGCTTCTTGCCTCTCTTCACAGCCAACCAAAGATACACACTCCGTCCCTCCAACCAGTGTGACCAACGGTGAGACTGATTGCTCCGATATCAACCGTTGGGTTGCCCGGACCTGTTCTGGGCTGAGATTTCCTTTCTTTCTTGATGCATGCACACCCCCAACCCAATCCCTCCTTAGGAAGCATCTTTGATTTTTTTCAGAGATGAGGCTTTGTGGGACTTGTCACCCTGTCCAAGCAGGACCCTGCACCTGCCCCCAGCTCCAAGGGCGCTGCCTGCCTTACCCAAGGGGTGCTCACAACTGCGGCACAGCTCACTCAGGTTGGCAGCTGGCTGCTGCAGATCCATGCGGGGTGCAGTGGGGGGCTTGGGGTTTTTCCAGCCATTACACTTACAGGTTTCATTGGCCTGGAGGCGGAAGGATCAGTCAGTGACCTATACCTCTGGGGCAAGAGCCGTTCCGCAGCCAGAGCTTTGACCCCATTCCCACCCGAGCCCGGGGATGCCCCAAGCCCCGCCCCTTCACCCCAGGCCCCGCCCCCACCTTGCAAGCCGAGAAGACCCCTAGCTTCTCTAGCTTCTTGGCGCGCGGCAGCCCCCGGACTTGCGCCTTCCTCTGGCTAGCGCGCTGCTGCTGGCTCAGGCCAGGTCGAGCCGGATCCCCCCCGCTCCCGGCCCCCCCACTTCCTACCCCGGGCCCCCCAGTCCCTGTGCTCCCGGCTGGAGCTGCAGCTGGGGCAGGGGCTGGTGCCGGAGTGGGAGTCGGAGTCGGGGCTGAAGCCGGGCTGGGTGCAGGAGTCGGAGTTGGGGCAGGGGCTGGGGACTGAAGGGGCCTGGGCTGCGCAGCCGGGGCCGGGGTCGGGGCCTGGGAAGGTTCCGCCATGGCCTCCCCCGCAGCGGAGAGCGGCGCCGCGCTCCCAGCCCTAGGGCCGCATGGGCAACCGGCGCTCAGTACGCAGGCGTCGCTGCGCGGCGCACGACGGGAGTTGTAGTCTTCTCGCTGTGTTCCCCCACTGCCTTTAGCTTCCAGACTTTTCTGTCCTGTCTCTTGGTCCCTGACGGCCAAGTGAGGCCTGAGCGTAAGCCCCACATTGACCCCTCTTCACTTCTAATCTCTTTTAAAGGCGTCCGGGCGAGTCACGATGGCTGTTCTCTTGGGGACAAGGAGTCTTGGGAGAATCGTGGGGTCTGCCTCTTCCCCGAGCCTCTGTACCACTTAACCCTCTCCCCAACTCCTGCAAAAGCCCTGCCCTACGCGGCTCCGGACACGGAATTGCACCTGCGGTAGAGATGAAACGTAGCAACAGTTCTGCAGCAGTGTGGTGGTGACTTGGGTATGTTCTCTTCCTGACATTCACCTGCATCCTTTTGTATGCTTTTCTGTATGTATGCATTTAATAGTATCACTCAACAAAGGGAGTTTATCAGGCCAGGTGGCTGGCTCACGCAGGAGGATCGCTTGAGCCCAGGAGTTCGAAACCAGGCTGGACAACATAGGGAGACCCCCATCTCTACAAAAAATAAAAAAATAAAGTTTATAGGCTGGGTGAGGTGGCTCACGCCTGTAATCCCAGCACTTTGGGAGGCCGAGATGGGAGGATTGCTTTAGCCTACTTAGTAGTTCGAAATTAACCTGGGTAACATAACGAGACCCCGTGTCTCTTAAAAAATAAAGTTTATCAAATAACAGCACCAGAGCCATAGCTGTGGTCACGATGGTCACCAAGGCTACTGAAGTGGAGGGTCAGGCAGAGGAGAGGTAGGTTTTTCTCTGTGCACTGGGAGCTGCTCTCCTGAAGCCCCAACTGCGTCTTCATCTTTGTGGCCCCAGAGCCCAGAACCCAGCTTGCCGCACAGGAAGCCCTGGGAGCGGATTTAGTAAGGCAGCCGGAGAGACCAGTCTGCCTCTTCGTCCCACGTGTCACGTGGAGTTGTGGGTGGTCAGGGAGAGGCAGGGTGGATGACCCGGGAAGGCTGCCCTCCCCTGGCTGTATCTGGGAACAAACCTTGCCCCAGGTCTGGTCCTTAGGAGGCAAGACAGTCCCCTTCCAGCTAGCCAGCAGATCAGTCTGCTGCTGGCTGCGGCGGGGTCCGGCTCCCTCGGATCTGGCCTGGTTGTGGATCCAGTTCCTTCACAGCCCCAGACCCACTGACGAGGTGGGGAAAGGCGGAGAAAGGGTCAGGGTCTGGGATGAGAGCAGCTAGCTGCCTGGCGCTGACAGTCTTGCTCTTGGTGGTAAGATGGGCGTGGCTAACCTCAACTCCGCCTGCTTTTGCAGAAGCAAAGGAAACCCAGGGGAACCGAGCGAGCCGAGCTCAGCTAGGCTGTGCGAGGTCCCTCCCCTCCTGGGGTCCTCGCGCCTAGCTCTGTGCTCGGAGCCTCGAGCTCTTGGACAGCAGTTGGTTGCTCAATCGGATACAGAGGGTCGGTAACACTTTCTCCGAGAGCCGGGTGCCATCCCAGTGTCCCAGCGTGGCCCTCGCTGAACGGAACCAGGCGGCCACACTGCCAGTGCGGCTGCTCCAGGACAGCCCGGCAGCTCAGGAGGACAATGACCATGCCAGAGACAGTTACCAAATGAAGATGGATGCCCATGGCTTTGCCCCGGAGGAGCTGGTGGTGCAGGTGGATGGCCAATGGCTGATGGTGACCGGACAGCGGCAAATGGAGGGCAGTGACCCGGAAAGGGGCAGTTACAGCATGTCACAGAAGATGCACCAGAAAACGCGGCTCCCGACCAACATGAATCCCACCGCCATGACCTGCTGCCTGACCCCCTCCGGCCAGCTGTGGGTCAGAGGCCAGTGTGGGGCACTGGCTCTCCCTGAAGCCCAAACAGGACCGTCCCTGAAACTCAGCAGCCTCGGTTCTAAGGCTTCCAAGCTGACCCAGTAAACAATAACCCTGTGTGCAGCAGCCTGGGTGTCCGTTGTTTTTCTGGGGATGGGGTGAGAGGTAGAAGGAGTGAAGGCACAGGAGGCAGGAAAGGCACCTCAAGGTGGTGGTCCACCAAGAATCAGGCCTCTGCGGGTGGACCACTTGAGGCCAGGAGTTGGAGACCAGCCTGGCCAACATGGTGAAAGCCCGTCTCTACTAAAACCACAAAATTAGGCATGGTGGTGTGCGCCTGTAATCCCAGCTACCGAAAGCTGAAGCAAGAGAATCGCTTGAATCTGGGAGGTGGAGGGAGATTGCAGTGAGCCAAGATGCTGCCACTGCACTCCAGCCTGAGCGAGTAGGACTCTGTCTCAAAAAATAAGAGGCCGGGTACAGTGGCTCATGCCTGTAATCCCAGCACTTTGGGAGGCCAAGGCGGGCGGATCACTTGAGGCCAGGAGTTTGAGACCAGCCTGGCCAACATGGTGAAACCCCACTCTACTAAAAATGCAAAAATTAGCTGGGCATGGTGGTAGGCGCCTGTAATCCCAGCTACTCGAAAGCCTAAGGCAGGAGAATGGCTTGAACCCAGGAGGCAGAGTCTGTAGTGAGCTGAGATGGCCCCACTGCACTCCAGCTTAGGTGACAGACTCTGTCTCACCAACACAGAGAAATTGGAGGGGAGTGTGACCCTAGCCGAGCAGGAGCCCCAGCAGGGAGCAGCAGAGAGCTGAGAGTGTTCAGATCTGATTCCAGAACCAGTAGAGAGCTGGGTTGGGGCAACTTGGATCTGGTGTTGGGGGTGCTGTGGACAGAGGTGGTGAGGAAAGCCAGGGGCTGCAGCGATTCCTTCCTCTTCAGGAAGAGAGTGAGAGGATTCAGACCCTCACAGGCTTGGTAAAGACCAACCAAAACACCCAAAGAGATTGCTTCTGGTGTTTCAGAGACTACTTACTGATCATCAAATCCAGACCGCATGTTACCCCAGCATGATCTGGTAGGTAGTGGAGGGGGAGGGAGTGGTAGAGAAGTGAACACAGGTCCTGAAACTTCAAACTTGGTCAGCCCAGGTCAGTTTTACCCTACCCCTACCCCATCGGAGCTGCAAACAGTAAGAGCCTCTTTCTCTTGGTCACCATGACCACCAGCATTCCCTCACATTTGAGGGGAAGCTTTTGTTTAACCAGATTCAGTGGTTCATTTTAAATCAACTTCAAGTAAACTAGAGAGGGCATGGTCTGATAAACTCTGCCAGAGAAAGACAAGGAAGACAAGTGTGAGGTCGATCGGCTGACTATATTGACAAGATACTGATTGGTTACATGTTGAAGAAAACATACAATACAAAATACAGAAAAAGTTGGTTCCGTCCCCTCCCACTCCCCCCCTTACCCACCCACCCCCCAAATACTCATCATCGTGATTTGGTCAGAACAGGGCTCAGAGCCAGAGGTCGGGGTGACCGAGTGGAGGGGCTGTGGGCAATGGGTTTGTGGCTGTCACAATAATGCTGTGATAATGCTGTGCTTCCCCAGCAGGGAGGTGGGGACAGGGAGGGGGGCTGCAGCCTGATGACAGCCAGCTGAGGGAAGAGCTGCCACTCCCTTCCCAAGCCCCTTCCCAAGGTCTGCCCCACCGCACAAACCCAAGACCACTCCGAACAGGAAGAGGATGTGGATGCTCTTGCTGGGTCCGCTGTTCCGCAGGAAGGAAAGAAAGTGTAGCTGCTCTGACCCCGCTGTCCCCATGTACAAGGGTGGGGGGGGCGGGGCGGACAGGAGCATGTGGCTACTCCCAGCAAGGGAAAGTGAGACAGCAGTAGAAAGGGGAGGAAGTGGGAAGAGCAGAAGATCATATATATTAAAAAAGTGACTTAAGACTTAAAATTGAATTAGTATTTGTACAGAAAGGTGCAGGTGGAATACCTCACTCCAGCCTATGATCAAAATTATATGAAGAAATCATGGTGGACCCCTCCCCCCTGCCCCCCAGTGGTGGCCCAAGTCGTTAAGTGCGATTGGTTAGAGTGGATTCCAGTCGGGTCGTTCAGGCGGAGGAGGTGGGGGCAGCGGGCAGGCAAGGGGGGCTCAGTTGCTGCAGCACTGGCTCCGGCTGGCTGGGTTGCTCTCCTGGAGGTCCACACCTCGGTTTCGGCCTGGAGCACCAGCTGCATTCTGGGGCTCGTTCTTGGGAAGCTTCTTAGCTGTTTGGAAGTGGGGGGAAATGCATTTGTAGGGAGTACCCCAATAACTCTCTGAGTTCCACTGGAGCAGATTCTGGCCTTTACACCCCATCAGTGATAACTAACATATCTATGTGTCAGGTACCTTCTGAGTGTTTTTAGGAAACTGCAGCAAAGAAAGGTAAAATAACTTGCTCCAAACCACAGAGCTAACGAGTAGTAGAGGCAGGATCTACAACCCAGGCAGGACGATTCCAGAGCCAATGAGCTAAAAACTCCCAGGAAGTGGGTAGGGGTAGTGATGGCAGGCTCGGAAATGGGTGGCAGGCGACAGGGTCAGGGGTGAAATGTTGAGACTTTGACCCAGGCTTCAGGAACTTATGAGGTGAATAACCAACATCTACAACTGGGAGTCAGGTGAGGATGAAAACAATTTTATCAGAAGGTTAAAAGTGGTAAAGGGACCCCACAGGCCCACTCCAGGACAGCAGACAAGTGATATGCCCTTGGTGTGGCAGAGAGAAGGGGAGGAGAAGCAACTTACCTATTGCCATGAAAATTTCATTCACGTTCATGGCAGTCTTTGCTGATGTCTCCATAAACAGCAAACTATTGTCGTCTGCATAGGCTTGTGCTTCCTGATTTGGATGGAGGTGAGAAAGTAAGTGAGAGGAAATGGCAAGGGCTAGGGCCCAGGATAAAAACCTTCCCTGTTCAAGTGCCTCCTCATAATAGAGATCAGCTGGACAAGCTGATCGGGTCCGCCCGGTCATGTCCAGCACCTCTCAGCTCACAACCATGGGCAGATGTCTTACTCAGGTTTCCTTAGGTCCACCCTACCTTCCTGCCCTTCAAAATCCTTAGGCTAGGAAATACTTCTAGAAAATTATCCTACAAATACATTTGCATGTTTGCACAAAAGCACACAAGTATGCGGATGTCTACTGCAGCACTGTTTTCAGTCTTTTTGCAATTATTAGGGACTGGTAAAAAATGAACATATACAGTATGTATAGCACACTGCCATCCATGTAAAGAAAGGGATTAAAAACTACGTGCATATTTCTGGAAGGACAAGAAACTGGGAAAATTACAGGAAGAAAAGTTGAGTTTCTAGGGTTAGCAGAGACTAAAGTACTTCTTCTTCTTCCTCTTTTTTTTTTTTTTTTTTTGAGACAGGATCTCACTGTGTTGCCCAGGCTGGAGTGCAGTGGCACAATCACTGCTCACTGCAGCCTCAACCTCCTGGCCTCCAGTGATCCTCCCCACCTCAGCCTCCTGAGTAGCACACCACCATGCCTGGCGAACTTCTATATTTTTTGTAGACACGGTGTCTCACCACATTGCCCATGCTGGTCTTGAACTCCTAAGCTAAAGTAATCCTCCTGCCTTAGCTTCCAGAGTGTTGGGATTACAGGCATGAGCTACTGCACCTGATGTTTTTTTGTTTTGTTTTTTAAGGAGATGGGGCCTCACTCTTGGCCATGCTGGAGTGCAATGGCGCAATCACTGCAGCCTTAAACTCCTGGGCTTAAGCAATCCTCTTGCCTTAGCCTCCTAAGTAGCTGAGACTATAGGTGTATGCCACCAAGCCCAGCTAACTTTTAAATCCTTTGTAAAGGCAGAGTCTTCCTATGTCACCTAGGCTGGTCTTGAACTCGTGGCCTCAAGTGATCCTGCTACTTCAGCCTCCCAAGGCACTGGGATTATAGACAGGAGTCATGATGCCCACTAGGCCCATGCTTGAGGCATGACAGGACAGTAGATGGAAGCTTCCCTGTTGCCTCCTAGCACGGCCCTTCCCAAAGCCCCTAAGCAACCTGGGTGAGGCCAGGGGGAGCTGCTTCCTGCACTCGTTCCCCAAGTCCATTGTCTCCCCACCTGGAATTCCACGGCTCTCTTGCTGGCCAGGTCTGCCTTGTTACCCGCAAGTGCAATGACGATGTTGGGGCTGGCCTGCCTCTGTAGCTCCTTCACCCAGTTCTTGGCCCGTGCAAATGTATCCTGAGAAGACAGGGACAGAATGTCAAAGGGACAGAGAAGGCATTCAGCCCAAGGCCACCCACTAGAGACTTGCAAGCTGGCACAGCCAAATTAAGACATTGCCACCTAAAGATTCTGGCACAATGTCCCCGAATAGGAAATCTGCCAACCCCCCAGCCAGCAACAGAGGGTTAAGATTCGGGCTTTGGTAACCCAATCCCTGGGACTTGGAGAAGATGAAGGGCAGAGGAAGAAGCAAGGGGAAATGTTTACTGTGTTGGTGATGTCATAGACCACGATGGCAGCCTGGGCCCCCCGGTAGTACATGGGGGCCAGGCTGTGATACCGCTCCTGTCCAGCTGTGTCCCAGATCTCAAACTTGACTGTTGTGTCGTCCAGGCAGACAGTCTGTGTGAGGAAGGCCGCTGAAAGAGAGAAGGAGCGCCCACGGGCAAGAGCGAGTTAGAAGCCACCCCACACATTCCCACGGTTGCTTCTAGGCCCTGGCATTCAGAAGCCCACCGCTGAGATGGGTACAGAGAACCCCCAACCCAGGAGCCAAAGCAGGCCTGAGCAGGCTGGTGTTTAGATTTTTATGTATGTGTCTGGGGGACGGGGTCTGCACAGGCTTTACAGACCCAGCCCAGGCAAGGGCAGACGGGATGCCTGCGTGCATTGAGCCGTCTCAGGAGCACTCTCTGAAGAGGAACACAGCAGGGGCAGGAGAGGGGATGCCCAGGGGAAGCCTGACTCCAAGCACAGAAGGGTGAGCGCCCTCAGACCTCCTCCTCCTACCACTCCAGAACAGACCAGCTGGGAACCTCTCCAGCCCTCGGTTTGCTCCAGCCCAGGGGTGTCGATGACCTTGGGTTTC